AAAACTTGAAAATGTCAATGTTAAATAAAAATGTTGAGAGGGCAAAGGAAAAACGTGTTACGACCATCAATCCTGTTGCGTGTAATGTGGTACTGTGTCGGTGTGCGCCTTAAATTAGAGCATGTCTTCTAGTACGACATATATATTCTATTTTCATATGTTTGTATGCGCATCCAAGATGGATCGACCACAAATAATAAAAAAAATATAATCCAAATAATTTTTTAAAATATTTTTTTTTTCAGGGAAAGAATAACTTTTATATACTTTTTATTGAATTTTTTTTCAATGAAATATTTAAAAAATCGTTGCTGAATCTTAATTCTCGTCTAGTCTACTTACCTCTAGTGGAAAGACTGACAGAAGGGTTTTGTCTRCTCGTCATGGGAGTAATGTTCATTTGTTGTCGAGGTACTATGGGTGGCTTCCCTTGTCCCGACTGTCTTGTTCTAAGAGCACGGTGTTGTAGCAATGGTTGCTGTCGATACCCCAGGTTATCAGCAGATCCATATCTTCTTAACACCTCATGCGAGCCATATCGACGCAGACCTCCTACCGTACCCATGCCAGCTATMGAGGACGATCTATCACGGGAAGGTTCGGGGTCCCTCAGAGTGTTATCTTGGGCCCCTTGAGGAAGAAACTGTTTTGCCTGAGATCGGCGTACGTCGATTCTATTTACACAGGAATCTGAGCCTACAGACTGTGTATCTTTGTGGTGCAAGCAGGTTCGGACTCGGTCCCACAGGATATTAATCTCGTCATCTGTCGGTGTTTTATCCAGTGATATTGATCGTCTAAGAGTCGTTGTTTGAGGATGATGAAGCTCATTACCATATGTGGACAAGCACTGCTCTGCCGACCACGTTGGGGTTGCATGGAAAACAGKATTGGTCCTAATACTACTACCATCCTCTTTTCTCTCCTCACCAGCCCTAGATGGCCCATTACTTGATGTTCCTACATAGGTAGGGATTCTTGAGGGYGGGGCCTTACTAGGCGTCACCTTTTGGCCCCTTGACTTAGCGGACCCTACTCTAGGTTGATGGACTTTCTTGTACACAGTTCTAATGTCACTTTTATTGTAATCGTCGTTTGGATTTGAGTCAGTTTGCTCCTGTGCAAGATGTCCTCCCAGATTGATGCTCCTGATAATATTCTGATGTTCCTCTTGGGCTGTGCTTGAGTTACATCGCATGCTRATTTGCTCCATATCCCGCTTGATGCTTTGAATCATCTCATCATCATCATCATCATTTTCTACCCCAGCGGCTTCCTTTATCCCAYTTTTCCTGCCATTCTTGATCAGGTTTTTCTGATCTCTAATATTTCTTTCATGTGGGCCTTCTTTCTTCTTGATGACAGTACGGTTAGTTTTTCTTCCTACACCTCGCGGTGAAGTCTTCCCCGAATGATGTCTTATGGCAGCAGCCGCTCTCTTTCGGTGTAGCGGGCTACTATAAACTACACCCTTGTGCCTCGTGCTGGGGTGTGGGGGCTTTGCTGCCATCGCCTGAACACCTGGCGAATGATCTTTCTGTGCCTTATTTATATTACTACTATTATTACTTTCTTTGAAAGTAGTTCTAGTATCACTGCTAAGATGTCCCTTGGATTGTATACTCTCCGTTCTTTTCAAGTCACTGGTTGTATATGGGGCTTGTGGGTTTGTTAAAACATACCCAGTACCATACCGATCTCTGTTRGGTGTTTCTTTGACATTACCGGTGTAACTGTCTGTTCTCGTACCTTGTTCATTTCTCTCATTCATTGGTCGCGAATCCATGTTTTTTCTTGGCTTAGGAGGCTCATCCATAACAATAAAAGCAACACTGTTGTTCTTTTTAGTATATCCAGCCTTTTCAAACACCTCATCGTCATCGTCATTCAAATTCCTGTCTCTACCTTGTTCGTCAGGTTTTGAAGGGAAGAAACTCCCAGGATACCAACTACGATAGTATGCTGAATTCTTTGCTATTGAATCAATATCGGGTGGTATAGACTCCCTATTTGTACTCTTAGATACTTTTCCTTGTGTGCTATCCTGTTCATAGTCACCACTGTGACCTGTGCTTTTGTTCTGTCCAGTAGAATTTGATGCGTGCGCATGCGTACTACCTGAAGTTGTTGTAAGTAGTGTGGATGAGCTACTAGCAGCTATGTTAGCTGTAGTGGTATTAAAAGTCTGACTCGCTTCTTCAGTGCTGATCTTTTGTCCAAAAGGATTGCGGTAGATGTTGATAGGGTTGCCATAGTAATCAACATGATGGAACTCTTCCTGACTAATYTTACGGACTGCGGGCTCAAAGTCTTTACAGCATTCCTTATTTGACCCCTCGGGAGCGTCACCTTCATACATCGCTCCTTCTCTAAGAGAATCATTGTCGTCTTCTTGTGTTGCATGCTCTGGTCTAACCCTTTCTTGGGTGTAGTCCAGACTATCTCGTACAATATCTAAACTGTCTTTCACCTCTAGGATTCTACTGTCCTGTTCTTCGYCTYCTTTTTTGCTTTGAGATTCCATCTCCCTAGTGCCCAGGCTGCTCGTGCCGTACTGACCTGGAGGTCTTGGTGCACTAGGTGATGTAGGCTCCGGTTGAGCTATACATTGCATAGGATGGTCCGTGTGAGTCATAGAGGAACTAGTCACCTCTCCAGTKGTAGCAACGGTTTTATTCACAGAAAACGGTATCTGAGAATAGATGGACTTTGGAACAATCATGCTCGCACTACTTCCAGACTGCAGAGACACACTAGAGGGGGATCCATTACTTTTCATTGGGGTACTACCTGGTGTTTCAACCACTCCTCCACTATGTACTCCCTTGACGACAGGTGCAGTTGGTCTGTGGGCTTGGCTCATGCTTGCATTATAAGCATTATTTGCTGCAATTCTATTGTTATACAATTTGACATATTGCTTACAGCTGTCCTTCTCTGCAGTCACCAGCTGACCAGTAAGACCGTCGTCAAACTCAATGCTGTCAGAAAAAGTCACACGTCTTCTTGAGACTGACTTTGTCCTGCTATCTTTCACTATTATCCCAGTGACCAGAGGAGCGGAGCAGGGTGTGTCTTTAGTCACTAAGTTGTCAGATGGTACCTCATCTAGGCTATCAAGACTGGTTAGACTTCCTGTAGGGGAATGGCTGCCCATAGTCTTAGGCAATGCTCCATCTGTCCACTCCTCATTCATAAAGGCAAATTTTGGACCTCCATTTTGGAGGGCACTTTCACGTAATCTGAGCTGTTCCTCGTGGTCAAAGGCATATCCATTGTTGCCTTGGTAATTATTATTWCCTTGGTTACCATAGTTACTGGAAGATATTGATAAATCACTTTCATAGTATGGATTCTGCACCCCTGATGTTCCAATTTGGCCCTGATTCATGATTGGGGCACTCAAGGTCCCTATTTTGGTATGGTCATCACCAAGATCTTGGTACATGTCCTTGGGTCCATAATACTGTATTTCATGGTCCTCAAGGTCCTGATAGGGGCTGTTTACTAGTTTGAGTGCATCTTCTAGTGTTGGTGCAGCTCGTGTTATCTGTTGACCATCCTTGATTTCTAAAATGTGACCTCGGACTATTCTAACACCATCTTTTAATTGTGGAGAACCTGCCACAAAATTGAAACTAATTAATTTATGTAAACTTGTCCAAAAAGTCCCTATGGACATCACATCAATCATGTTATAATATAATAGGAGGTTAGCAACAKTCAGATTTAACCAGTCTTAAAGTAATAATTATAATCTATCTGCTATATAAATTACACAAAATAGCTAAGCCCTGCTTTCTTTTCATTAAGTTTCTATTCTTACTCTTGCCTCCACAGGTAGCCCAAGCGAGGTTAGAATTTGTATTAGGCCAATTTTAACTTTTTTGCCCTCTAACCACACAGGGTGAAAGAGGTACTCTTTTTTAAAGGTAAACTAAGATTTCTTTACTTTATTTCACATTTCAACGATTTTATTGAGGTTTGTAATGATTGATCCCATATATTTTCTTATAATGTGTAGTTTCAACATATCCCCCTCACAGAGGAATTTTTTTAAGACACCCCCCTACCCCCAGAAATACCAATTTTCTCCCATACAAACTCTGTAATTTTTGTTCTTTCTCTGACCCCCCTACTCTTTGGAAATTCCAAATTCCTCTGTGGGGTGGGTATGGATGATTTCTGGAACTACCCAATATGACACCACAGAACCCTTGCTTGGGCTACCTGTGTTGCCTATCTCTACAGCCTGAATACCAATCACTACTTCTATCTTACCTGTTGGTGATGATTCTTTCCCACTGTTTGGTCGTGTCTTCTTTTTGTGCAGTGCTTCCTTTTGGAACTTCTGTGTTGCTTCTTCCTTAAGCTTGCGTCGTTCTGCAAGAAGCTCTTCCCTCTGTTTCTCYTCTTCTTCCTCTAATTGCTTCTTTTTATTTTCTAAAGCCCTACAATATAAAACCACAACCAGTTAACAAAGTAATGAGACCATTAYGCTTATAATTCCTAATCTCATGGACAAATTGTAAAAATTGGATATTTCAAAAAATCATTTCTAGAAAATACGAAACCCCCTTTCCCCATATTCAAAGTTGTTTTGCAATTGGTGGCAGAGTAGTGAGAAAAGAGATTGGAGTTGCTTCCCCAAGGAATTGAGCTTCCTGTGTTGTCTAGGTCTCAAGGTAATTGTTTGTCAATTATTGCAGTGTCACTTTTCAWTATGATTCACTAGCCTTGGCTTGATTAATATTACCAAAACTAATCAGAACTTTAAATTTGCTATGCAAGAAGTGCTTTGTGATGCTTTTGCTATTCATTTATTAGATGAAAAACATATTTGTAACTAAGCTCAACAAATTATGCAGTGTGTGGGTGTGGGGTGGGTTGTTTAGGTCACCCTATAATTTCTTTTACCAAGACAATGTTTGATCTGTATTGGCTATTTGGTATCTTAAATGCAGCTCAATTTTTTCCCATTTCATATTGGTAGCTAATTTTAGTCTCACAAGGCACACTACATTTTGAATTCAATCCAAGTTAGCCATATGCCCTGACTTTTATCGTGGTTAAAATATTAAATTGATTAAAAGGAACCAGGTGGAAATTGAATGTCATTCAATCAGTACTTATGACAAATCATAGTTTGCCTTTTACATATTTTACAACTTTTATTACAAATTGTACATGAGATATTATATGGCTGACAGGGCAGAAAAACGACAAGCCCACTACTTTCACGATTTTTTTATTCAACTGAGCTTAATACTCAAAATTTTTTAGCGTTTCATTAGTGTCACTGCTGCTCGAAACTTGAGACAAAAATTTTGTCGAATTCAAAGAGTAAATCTACTTAGTGTCTAATCTACAAAAATGTCAGCTTTTCTGCTGATCAAAATATCACCTCTCCCAAAGTACATGGCTTTATATCTCAAATACTCATTCAATCAATTTTGGTCGCATTTGATATTTTGCTATTTGGCTCCTAAAGATCATGTTTACAAAATATTGAGCTTAAATACGTAAAGCTGTCCTTATGGCAAAAGGCCAAAACCTGTTTTTCTGCCCTGTCTTACATGTATAGTAAACTTGCTGGTTGACTTTCTCTTTCATGTGCTTTGAGAGGTTTTCCAGGTTGTCTGGGTTTCCTCCCTCTGCAACAATCAACTTCTAAATTCCAAAKTGATTTTAGTGGATAATAAGTGTAGAAATACCCCTGTCCAATCCCATTTTTATTGTTTAATATTCATTTACCTTCGTCTTCTATTGGTTTCCTTAGACAATTCTTTTACCCTGTCTTGTATATTCTTTCCCTCTAGTCTGGCTTTTTCTCTCAGTCTTTCTACTTGTTCATTCTCTACAGCCTTGTATTTATCTCTGACATGTATGTCAAGGTGGATTATAACTCATTTATAATATAACACATTATTAATATTTATAATAACACCTGTGTTTTGTAAAACAAGAATGAATTATATAATCAATAAAAAAAATGAGGGGATATTTATAATTATTTTATATATGACTTAAATTCCTTTACAAAAGACAAAGAATGGCTATACAATAGCATTAAAACATGATAAATACTGTGCTTTAAAACAGATTAACACAGATTCTACTAACACAGAATTTATTCAGCAATAAAATAACGAATTTCTGCAGTYTTATTTACTAACATTAAATATTAATAATGATGTTTGGTAAGAATTGGTTTTCAACAAGTTTATATTTCATTTTATAAAATAATTGGTACACTACGTGCGCTAGGATTGGTCGAAAACCATGTTTGATGAGAGTATCAAAACACGCTATCGTCATTTTTAATCTATCGCGCATGCTCATTGGTCAGTTTGAATAAGACGGCACGTAGGGAGAATTTACTTAGACTTTGCTTTTTTTCGATCTTTTCGCGCGTTTGTTATTCTATAAAACAAATCAAAAACAGTTTTCTGTGTTTGATACT